GAATATATATATATATATATATATAGGGAGCATATCAAGTGAGAAGAATTTATTGTGAGAGGGTTAAAATATAACCCTTAGATTAATCAAGTGAGAGAAAATTTGGAATTTAATCAAGTGAGAGAAAATTAATCTAAGGGTTATATTTTAACCTTCTCGCCCTTTCATAATAAATTCCTCTCACTTGATATGCTCCCTATATATTATATATATAAAAGCAGCATCCACACTGCCGGACTCATTGCTAAACCCAATTATACAAAATCAGTTCACTCTTGCTAGTTGCTAATCCAAACCTGAGCCACGTAGACCAAAAACGCTTCGAATAATGAACACCACCGGAAATGATACATAATTTGCTTTAATTAAAGAGAAAATAGATAGAAGAAAAAAAATATTTCTTTTCGTTCACTTTCTCTTCAATTAAAATTTCAAAATATTTTTTCCTCTCAACCAAATGGAACCTTAATTTCATATGAAGATAAAATAATATAGATTACATTTTATGGAGGTTAGATCTGGGAGGAAATAAATTATGATTTTACTTTCTTTCATTACTTGTCGAAATCCCTAGCCAATAACTAACTACATGTCATTTGATCTCTAGATACAACAAAGGCTCATTGCTAAAGTCTCATGATTCCAGCATAAAAATTGTAGAGATAGAGGAAAAATGAGTAATCAGTACCTGCTTACAGTCTACAACAGAGAAAATAATCCATGGCATCTATAATTCAATTTAAAGAACACATTTGAGAAGCAGGCAGCATGCATTTCTTTGGATAGCCCTTCACCAAGTTGTTCCAAAAGCTTTGACCTGCCAGGCCTCAAGTGGGAGGAGCCAGTATCAGGCTCAATGCCTCACCAGCCATGCCAATGTTTTCTGAATGTCATTGCATCCAGCTTTGGTCACGTTCACTCATTACCCAGATCATCCAGGTAAGAGCCATATTTGGACACCCAAAATATGTGCCACCTGTAGTGGTAGTTCATGTTTTACATTTTACTTGTATATTTACAGTGTACAATAAATGTATAGGTAGTATGGTTACAAGATGACATTACTGAAGTACAAATTGTCCCAAACCCATGCGATTCTCAACATTCAATAGAGATTAATAAGCATGGCTGGCTTCAGGGTTCTAGAAGAAGAAATAAAAAAAAGACCAAGCTGAAACTTTCCCACGCCAAACTAGATTTTTTATTCAGTTGGTGATCCATCTTCTTTTCCGGGCAGGTCGCTCTTGTTTGACCTCTGAATCTATTGGATTTTCACTTTTGGCAGAAGGCAGAGGTTCACTTTCTAACTTCTTGATGACAAGGGCCTCCTTTTCACTAGGCATCGGGAGCTTGAACCGCTCGCTGCGCTTCTTCAACCGCTCTACTGTGTCAAGGTGCCGATCCCCCAATTCTTTTGTATCAGCATCCTTATTCTCCATATCTGCAGAATCCCTTGCTTCAGCCGACAAGTGATGTTGGTCATCAACATCAACAGGTTTAGCAGGTTCCTCTGCAGGTTTCCCAGCTTCAGAAGACCCATCATTGTTATCCTTATCAATGTCCTTAAACTTCAAGGAAGCAGACTTGATACTGAAATCCCTTTCCTTATGGCTTGTCCAGCGTTCTAATTTAGAACGTCCTCTGCGAGAATCTTGCTGTTCATCTTCTGAGGAAACGTCTTCCCGCTGTTTTCTGGACAGGCGATGCCCTGGAATTTCATGCTGAGCACGTTCTTCATCACCAGATCCTTTGAAGCCCTTCACAAATAGAAACTAACAATTACAGAAAACAAGAGCAAATATTTCTAGCGAATAATGATAATTTTCCAACATCAGCAATAGCTTTTATGCAGAGCAACACATTGAAGAGCACTCCACAATCACTTTTTTGTTCAGGTGACAAGGACAGACCAAAGCAAAATGTAATTAAAATAAGAGACAATATTTCCTAATGAGCAAAGTCTCAACGAGATCCCTGCTAACCAGGGGTTGTTCAGATTCAACTTCCATACAGGATTGCATAATTTCACAATTTTGTATGCAAGCTTCAAACCCTGGTTTGGTGAGATCACTTTAGGATAGTTGGATAAGCTCATGAAATAGTTGAAAAAAATTTCAGGATCTCAGACAAGCCACTGTTTAGATAGTAGCAGAGGAACTCATTTGTTCTTGAAATTTAAAGAACCCCAGTTCTAAGTTTTTTTTTGGCTGTTTCCCATCCCATCTTTGTTCCCCTTTGATTTGAGTTGCTGTCCCACTGTGTTCGTGGTCGCACAACTCCAAGCAATGCTAAAATTCTGTAATGGTATCCCCTTTGTTGGGTCGAGTTGATCGAACTTGGTGGTGCTGCATGGGTTTTCATTAAGATGCTGTTGTGCATCTTGGGTGGCTGGGTGTGACTATGGTGAAGCACCCACATTTTTCTTTTCTAATAACATCTAGACCTGGACCCAAGGCCCAGGGCCAGAAGACTAATGATTACAATATTGCACCCTTGGGAGAGAACCCACAAAGTTTTGGCTGTGTTTTTGGTTGTTTTTTCCATGTCTTTCAGTTTGATGTGTTGATAGAATTAGAAATGGACCAGGTTAGCTCAGTGAAGAAGGATTTCTCAAGTCTTATAAGGAGTATTCTAGTCATATTCCTGGCCACCAAAACACACACCCCTCTTGCCTAAGACTGAACATCTGGATCATGTAGTTTGCAAGATTAGATATTTGGTGGCCCAACATTAATAGAATTTGATACCATAATAGAAATAGAGCACACCTAATTCAATCCCAAAAGCTAGTTTATATGGGGAGAATTGTCTAGATTTTATAACGTATTCTAATCATATTCTTAGCTAATGTGAGAGATCTTGAAAAGAAGCATTTTAAACCCTTTATAGTTTATACTATAAATTGTAACTTTATTATGGTTTTTTAATCGGACTTCAATTAAATGAGTTATGATTTGAAGGTTATTTTTGTCTAGTTACATTAATATTATTATTTTACAAATACAAGAATATAATTTTGTATTTTAGATAGAATATCGATTCTGACGACCTTACTACTAACAATATAACACCTGTTAAATACACTTAATCATCAAGTAAATTTAAAAGTGAGTCTTAAACCCAATTACTGACAAATAAACAAAAAACAAGCTTTATCTTACTAGTTAAAATCATCAACATAGATCAAAGGATACTATTGAATACTTATCAAATTTTACTAATCAAATTTCAAGTTTTCAACAATTAATTTCATGCAATGTCCTTTTATGGTATCTCCAAAAGTAGCAAATTACTTCCTGTTAACAACTTAGAATTAACACAATTGATTCATTAATTGATTCCAAAAGTTTCAACCAATCAAAAGTCACTTGGACAATATTTAAAGTGCAATCAAATAGGGTTACAACAAAATTTCTCAACCAAACTATCAAAATAAACAGCAGAATAATACAAAATAATTTTTAAGATAGAAGCTTGTCATAAATTGTCAAGATAATTAAGAGTGTCTCCCATAATGAAGTATGTAGTAAATTCAATTTATCAATAGGTGGATTGATTAAACCTCATCATACATTCTGTTTTAAAACCACCTAACTACTTTCCAAAAGTTGCGTCTTCAAAGTTGGCAATTCTACTTGGACAAAAAGAACAAAATCTTGCCTCGAAAGGGCATATATTTTAATTTCTACCACCTCCCAACATATGAAGATGGGAGGGAGGAATAGTGAAAATGCAAAAGCTAGTTATTCATGATTAAGTGTGCCTTGGCATACATTATGTGGATTGAACCAACACTTCTAATATTAGCTGTAACTAAATTGAAAACTCAACATAATTCTAGGCCTTCATGATTCTAAGGGTCACATATAGAGAATCCTCAATTTCATGTAAAAAGATTATTTTACTCTCCAGGTAGTTTCACGTTTCACATGCAAGTGTGCATACCTTTTCATTGGTTGGACCACTTTCATTTTCTTGACTTCTCTTGGACAGGCCTAAACTATTAAGGTCACTAACAACACGTTCTTTGCTTTTCCTTGAGCCTTCTCTATGCTTAACTTTTTGGTTATCTGAAGTATTAGCAACACGATCACTACGACTACTTGACCTTTCCTGCCTAGATCTCCTTTCCTCGGTAGTATATTGGTTTCCACGGGCAGAAGTATCATCACGGCCCTTATGATGTAGACTTTCATCCTGAATTCGATCCCTCCTCTTCAATTGGTCATTGTGCCGCATTGCTTCTCTGGATTGGTATTCTTTCTCAGAAAGTTTATGTTCATCTTTAGCCCTAACATGGCCAACCCATGCTTTTTCTTCAGCTCCACGCCCACTTCTTATAGAACTCCGTCCTTCTTCTCTTTCACGCTTGGGTATGTGTTCTTCATGGGACTGTTTTATCCGATGCCCCTCCTCCCTATCTCTTTGCCTATCACCCCTCTCCCTCAGTACCCAAGCTTCATCTTTCTGCCTAGCAGCATACTGATCATCAGGATTTTCTCTAATTCTTTGCAGGTCATCCCTTTTCCGTGGATCCAATACTTCATCTCTATCTCGCCTGCGTCGATTAGCATTTTCCCTGTAGCCATGCAGAATTTCTTCTTTGTCAATATGCTCCCTCCTAAGATATTCCTCATCCTTTCTCCTCTTGCCATGGTAATCCTCAACTGCTTCATACCTAATCCTCAAGCTCTCATCTCTTTCCCTATGTCTTTCATCTCTATCTCGCCTGCGTCGATTAGCATTTTCCCTGTAGCCATGCAGAATTTCTTCTTTGTCAATATGCTCCCTCCTAAGATATTCCTCATCCTTTCTCCTCTTGCCATGGTAATCCTCAACTGCTTCATACCAAATCCTCAAGCTCTCACCTCTTTCCCTATGTCTTGAGTCTCTAGACCCAACATCCCTATCATACAAAAGCCTGTAGCTGCTACCATTATCCAACTGTTTTCTTGAATGAAGGCTATCTTCTTTGTCATTTCTCTCATTTTCTCGAACCTTAGCCCTATCCCTCTTTCTAGGTTCATCATTTCTAACCCTTCTGCTGTAGAGATCATCATCTCTCCGTGCCCAATCTATGTCATAGTTGTCCCTTTCTTTTTGCCCATCAAATCCATCAGTGTTTGTGTGCAACTGAGGACCTGAGCTAGGATGCCGGTCCTTGTAAGGGTATGGCCTCTCTCTGCCTTTATGTATCATGCGATTTCTTTCTGGTTCTTGCTTTGCATCATGCTCTCTTCTATAAAATCCCTGCTCAATTTCATCAGGGTGCTGTCTGATGCTATTTAGATGTGCCGATCGTGGATTCTGAAGTACTTCTTCCTCAAAACCCTCGCGCCGCTTCTGGTTATCCCTGCTGCTTGCTGATCTTGCTTTGCTGTTATCACTACTTTTTGCAGCTTTTGAGTCATCCCAATCATCAACTTCATCAAGTGAAGGTTGATCAACTTGAGAAGTTAATTTCTGTCTCTTTGCTACACCATCCTCAAGGGTGTCTACTTTGTCTACTGTTTCCTCCTTTTCCAATCTGGAACTTCCATCAGCTGTCCCAGTGTCCTCAAGCTCAGTATCTTTGTCCTCCACACTAGACTCCTTTACATCCTTAATGACAGGGGATGATAAATGTGTACTATGTCTAACTTCCATGCTTTCAACCGACTCTTCTTTTTGATTGTTATCAGTTGCCAATTCTTGAATAGGAGTTATAGGAGGAGACTGACCACGCACTCTTCTTTGCCTCTGCCTGTAAATACAAAAGTAAAGATATGTCTAAATTGCACACGAAGATCACCAAGCCTATTATGTCCAGAGACCAGCTTACCAAAAAATGCAATTGCAAATAATAAAATATGTTTCTAGTAAAATAGAATTTTGACAAGTACACTAAAGGATGTACACAAGAAAATGTATAACGAAAGAGATGATATTTTTTATTTTCTTTAATATAATTTTGAAACAAGAAAAACTGCTCTCTCTCTCTCTCTTTACTTTAGCTTTTGAGCAATTGCATGATCCTTGCCTAAGATTCAGGTGCCTTTTTTTTTCCAAGACAAGACATGTTGAATATGTATCATTATGGTTTATATCATGTTCATAATGTGCTTCTCCAACCATTCAAAATTTAACTGTTTCATTATCAGATAGTAATTTAATTCAAGGCAGAATCACTGTAACCTATTGTCAGTCTCAGTCATAATCACTAACCTCTAGTTCATGGGGCATAATGTAAGGCTACGGATAAAGGTTGACATTTTCAAATTATTTTCTAACAGAATAATGATTATACACTATTTAAGTACCTCTCATCGTAGGAGGAGATGAAATTGCCAGCACGGGACCTAGGATTTTGGTCCCTTGAACCAGAGTACTCAATTGGCTCTTCCTGTGGGAAGAACAACTTTTCATTTCCATTGGGCATGTTAGCAGGACCAGAATTTATAAATGGCATTCTTCTTCCTGCAAGCTCTTTCTTTCGACCATTATAATCCTGTGGAAAACCATCAAAATACTCGGGCTCCAACCTTGGAATTTCATCTACATGATCTTCTCTAAAATCATCTCTATGGGGTTCTCCACCCTCTGTTGGATCTTGAGCAATTCCTGCAGAGGAATGGTCATCTTCTGTATCCTGTAAAACAATCTGTTTACAAAAATACTCAGTAATGTGTACAGTACATATGCAGTAAAAAGGGTTATCCAAAAAACCATATATGCTTTTTAAATCATCAAATAGGAATACCTCGATGATGGCATCTGAATCACGGATTCGAGGAGGGCGGGTATCAATGGAAGGAAGCCTATCACCATAACCACCTTCCACCTGTATTGCTCTACCAGTTGGCTGGTAAAAAACAAATTTATTTGAGCCTAGAGACAGAATTGGATAATAAAGGGGGAAATATCTACTACAAACATAATATGCTAAAGCAGCCCAGAAAGCACATAGAAAGCAGGTATATGGACTTCATATGAGAGAAATTGCTATAAACATAAGTGTTTAGACAAATACATACTAGTGGTGGTCGCACACGTCCAGTCCCAGAACCTTTCATAACATCGCTTTGTCCGATATCTGATTTTAGAGAATTTGCATTTTCAACAGGAACATCATGTATACCAGTAGCAGCAGCTAATTCAGGGGGTAAGTCTGGATCGTACTCCTGAAATGAAATCAAATATATGATTAACTTGATAAAAAAATCAGTACACAAAAACACCTTGGGAAATTGAAAAGGAAAGGGAACAAAAATTAAAATATAAAAGCACCCCTACCTGCTCTGTTCGACCACTCTCATAAACACGGATCTTGCTTTGCATAGTAGACTCCAAGCGTAGTTGCTCCTAAAAAGTCAAATACAAGGTTTTTTCAGTCTATGCTAATTTGTAGAGAATATTAAAAGTATGCTAATAATTTTACCAGCTGTTTGCAATAGTCTTTCCAGCTGTCCTCATTCAAACCAAAGTTGAAAAAATCTGATGTATCGACATTTGGATATTTCCACGGTTTCTCCTCAAAACTCTCAATATCAACATCAAATATAGTCCTGAAAATGATTGACAGGTTTAGATAAGCACTGACTAGATGACATGACGCAAATGATATTTAGTTGTAAATGGAAAAAAAAAAAAAAAAATAATGGAAGTAAAAGTATCCTGCAAGAGAGCTGTGATTTTGTTGTAAGATTCTAACTCAAAAAGATTGATGCATGTAATGTCAAACTTCATACATTAAAATTTATTTATCAGCAAGGTAGTTTGCCAGAGAACAAGTTTATCCAAAAGAAAGTGCACTGCTACATGAATAAAGTGCAGGAGTGAGCAATTCTATTTATATACCATCCAGGAGATAAACCATAAAACATAACAAGAAAATAACAGTTGTTTGAAATAAAGATTAGGGTTATTGGGAATTATGATATTTAATGTATCATTGACAAGATTAGAGTTACGGGGAATATAGTTTAATTCTTTATTATTGTTCTTCTAAGTGTAAGATGTCGTATTTCTTTTGTGTTTGTGTATTAGAATATATTAGAATGCTGAGTGCTACACTCAAGCAATTCATTCCGCGAAAAGAAAATAATGAACTTGACCCAACAGTAGCCCAACAGTCATTATACAAAATAACATTTTCATTTTATATTATTAAATCAAAATTAACTAAAGGTCAGGCATGTTTGTAAAGATCTAAAAACAAAGGAAAGGAAAAAAAAAAAAAAAAAATTTTAGCCACTTTCCACTCGTTAATGTGTTTAGGACTCAAGACACTTCAATCCTAAATTACAGTGCCACTTAACCATTCAAAAATGCTTACATGAAGTTTTTGAGAAAGCTCATATCATGGGAAAAATAACTATTTTTTATTTAAAAGAAGACCCTACTCAGCAAGCTTCTGGAAAAAGATTATTATTATTTCAGAAAAATAAGCTAATCTAAGTCACTTGAAAACCAGGGTCTAGTACAACTAAACTTAAACAAAATGAAAGTTAGTTTATGAAAATTTAAAATTACTTGTGAGAAGGAAGTGTGAATTCCAATCCACCACCAATACCCCGCCCTGCACCACTGTTGCCCCAACCAGGTAATCCAGGACCTGCATGAAAACCTTTTTGCATAGCAGCAGCCCCTTTCATTCCAAGTGGTCTCCAGTCCCCTCTGCCTCGACCAGCCATGTTAGCGAGTGGACGAATCTGACCAGGAGGCCCTCCTGGAGCCGAAGTAGTAGCTCCAGGCATTAGTGCTGCACCAGGCCTAACATACTGATACTAAGCAACAGTAAAATAACAAACTGTTAGACTTCTTCTATTTCAATAAGCCATAATTTATCATATATTCATAAGCAAACCAAGAACTGTCGTGAACCAACCACAAATGAAAGATTCAAATATCTTGAGAAAATGCAGCTAGGTTCTTCCCTTCATTAAATTTTAGCCTTGAGATGAAAATCATGAAATTAACCCCAGCAAAACTGCAGCGATGTAAAAACAATCCCACTCCGACTTGTTAGGATCAAAGAACTTCACTTGAAAGACCCCAATTCAATTCAAGCTGTAAGCAACCCCCCTTGATGGGCAATTTGTAAAAGCCACATGTCAAGCCATATGACCAAGGTTTGTGAAATGCCTGGCCTTTGAATTGTGGTAGCCTCTCGTTTTTTAGGCTAAAGTATATTTTTGATCCTTTATCTTATTTTTTTATATTTATTTTATCTATTAAAATGTTCATTTTGGTCCTTTATCTTTTATATTTGAATCAATTTGGTCATTTTAAAAGAATGATAATTTTCAATTTTGTGACATAATTTTGAATCAATTTTTGACTGATTCAAAATGTAAAACTTGTAACATTATATTTATCTATATGAAAACACAATTGACATTTGAATCCAAAAGAGCTATAAATATATAGAGAATCATGTGTAAAATATATTCCATGAACAACTAGAAAATAATATGAAATTAGATATTTTTGAAATTTTGTTTTTCACCATATTTATAACATATTTGGTTTGAATTTCAATTGCATTCAATAGTTTTCATATAAGTGAATCATATGAGACAAATTTCAAGCATACAACTGTTAAAAAGGCTTCAACAGAATAGTTAACAACAAAATGATCAGTCAAAGTTCCAAGTGCATACAGTAGACATCAAACAATTTTTCCCCCGCCACACATAACTCAATCCTTGAACCCAAGCTTCTGCTACTATAACACCAAACTGAGTAGAAAAAGCACGACTACACACACTAACTACTAAAAAACGTGTACACTAATCTCCATGCACAAAGCCCTGCTAAATAATTTAATGACAGAAAGAAGCAGAAAGTTTTTCCCAAGCAAAAGACAATTAGGCAAGGCAACAGGAATCATTGATGAGATACCAATTCCAACACAGCCACCTAGGTTTCCATTACCACATCATTTTCAACATTAGATTAATGTTAATTGTCATCACCAAGGCTTGTGGCATGCCCTAGCCTTTATTTTTGTACGATACATAATGCCAGGTGATTCAATTACAAAATCATCAAAGTCAATTAGACAAACAAATCAATCTCCTACATCTAGTTGTACAACTACAAACACAATTTTGCACTTCAATCCACACTGCAAAATCCCTGAACACAAGCAATGCCCTTTCAATCAACACAACACAACAACACTGACCTTAAACTGGGAATGAAAGGGGTGGTATCCATGATTGCTATACCCAATCTTCGGGGCCACCGCGCCCCCGGCCTTGGCCAATTCAGCGGCGTCCTTCCTCTCGCCGCCCTCGCCGACCACCGCCGCATTCTCGCCCCACTCCTGCTCCTCCGCAGCCTGATTCGGATCAGCACCCACAATCACAAGCCCCTCATCCTCATCCTCCTCTTCCTCTTCACCATCCCCCATCCCACCCCGCTCCATGGCCATGTGATTGTTCTCGTTCAACACTATCTTCAAATCATCCTCGCTGTCGCTGTCCCAATCATCGCCCTCGCCGCCTTCCTCAGCCGGCGCCGCGCCGGATAGCCCCGGAATAACCGGCTCCGAGCCGACGTCGCCGCCGTCGTCCTCCTCCTCCTCCTCGATGTCGAATTTCACGTCCCTGTCCATCGGATCAACGCCCTCGTCCGTCGCGGCGAGGGTTGAATCCTGCGGAGGCTCCGCGTCGAGAATTTTGGGCGGTTCCTCGGCGGCGGCGGGGGGCAGCGGGTGTGGGTCGGGGGCAGGGAGCTGATTGGGTGCAGGGGAATCGGGTGGGGGCGCATCGCAGGGGATCTGTGCGGCGTTGAGATTGAGATCGATGGAGGGGGGTGCAGGGGAAGATTGGTGGGGCTGCGGCGCAGAGGATGAGGGCGAAGCGAAGGGGCGGAGGACGTCGCTGTATAAATCTCCGAAATCGTCGTCGTCTTCCATTGGATGAAGAAGAGGAGAGTTGGGACAGAGAGAGATAAAGTGAGCGCCTACGTTGAAGAGAGGGTTTTGTAGGTTTGGCAACTGATGCTACAGCTTCGCTTCTATGGACTCAGCTTCGTGTTTGCCTAGGTTAAACCACCGTTTTAGTTCTTTATAATGCACTAACTAAACAATCTCAAAATAACACATAAATAAAGCTATTCATATAGACTAATTTCATTCTTAAAACGTTGCCACCATGTGAAGTAGTTTTTTCTTTACATATATATTTTCCTCCCTCAAATTTGTAATAATTTTTTTAGTTCATCAGATTACATGTAGCATCGCCCAAATAAACACATTAAGTCACCAATCAGAGTTTATCTAATATAATATTTGTAATAACAATTATATTAGTAAAAGAATATGCTTAAAAAACATAGTAAAGGATTATGTGGGACAAATTCGTGAATTTTGTGGAAGATATTTACTAATCATGTTTAGAAAAATGACTAAAATAGATTGATTTTAAAATTACATAGACTCAAAAGCTATATTTTAATCTCAGAACAAAAAAAATAGTAAATTATTATTATAATCTCTTTAAGTGTGAGACACAAAAAATTAATCCGTGAATGAATCACAAATTTAAATTAGTCTCCAAAATTACATTTCGTTCATTAATTTGGTCCAAATGATAGTTTTGATTACTAACAACATCAATTGATGAAATTTGTCACATTAAGTGTCATTTTGGCACTCATCCTTCCTAGGTAGCCTTTCAACCCATATTTATGTCATGAGAATTAATTTGAAGAAAAAATTTCTTTCTCCTCACCTTGTCTTTTATCCTCCCTATTCTTTGTCACCTCTACTGTCACCTTCCCTTCTTTGCCTCCTGTTGGTGGTGAATTTTGGTTTCTATTTTTGAATTAACTAAATTAGTTCGAAAAGGCTTGGTTGCGGGAATCAACGATGACAAAGGTAATCGAGCTGATTTGGTCGTTTACGAGGAACTGCAAGGTTGTAAGGTCCTCAAGAAACGACTTTCCCTTTTTTTGTAAAATAGGCCTTTTGATATGTAATAAGAGTTGGCATGAAGTTGATCACGGAAGAATACGTACATGATGAATGAATCAATCAATCGCCTCTCACCCACAAGGATACTTCTATGGAAGGAGTTCCCCTTTTTCTATGTGAGGTGGGGCATAGGAAGAGTGGAACCTAGATAGAACATGAAGTGTCGACCTCGAATGCCGATACAGTTATCTTGATTACCTAATTGTACCATTGCCACATATAGATATACATGAAGGTAGCTTGCTTCTTTTCTCTTAGGCGACTACCTATACATGTTATTCACTAAGAAAAAGTAATGAATGGTTCTTTGCTTATTAGAGCTACTAGTCATCAATTACTTTTTGAGTGCACATAATAGATAATATAAAGAGTAAGGGAGAAAGAGAGAGTGCACACAAAGAATTTATATTGGTTCACTCTTAACCAACGAGCTACTTTCAATTCTTTCTTACACTAAAGAAATTCACTACTTAACTATTGAGTACAAATCAAGTATTATCATTATTAAGTAGCTGAGGGATTGGGTGCCTATATTTTATTTATTGATGGATTTCTAAAATTGGTGCACATACTCCATTGCCATCTTTCTTTGGCATCAAAATAATGAAGATGGCACAAGGGTTAAGGTTCTTTTGAACCTAGCCCTTTTTCTCTCCTAGCACAACGAGAGAATTCTTTTCTTTTCTTTTTATTTTATCTTTGTTTTTCTCTTCTTCATCTTTCTTGGCTTGTAATTTGAGTTGGTCCTCATTCATTTGCAAAGGTGATAGAGGACACCACACAAATTTCTTACCTAAATGTTGGAAACTTATTTTATTTGTGAGGCCATCATGGATTGTTTTCTTGTCAAATTGCCATGGCCTCCCAAGGAAGACATGAATAACCTCCAATGGCACTATTTCACACAAAACTTCTTCTTTATATTTTCCAATGGAGATTGGTATGCTTGCTTGTTGGTTAACTACAATACCTCTTTCCTCATTGATCCATTGCATTCTGTAAGGTTTAGGATGAGGTTTTGTAGTCAAGGCTAACTTATCAACCAATCTAGTACTACAACAATTTGAAGTAGACCCACTATCTACAATGAGAGAACAAGTTTTTTCTAGAACCTTGCATTTTGTTTGAAATGAGTTCTCTCTTTGAGATTGGTCAATGTCACTAGGTTGATTGTTAAGAAGCCTTCTAACCAATAGTAAGTCTCCTTCACAAGGTAAAATTTCTTCCTCGGAGTCTATGGCTTCTTCTTCACTA